TCTTGTGGGATTTACAACTTTCATCCACTTCTCCCGAAATACGTGAAAGTAAGAAAAATAGAGTAATCTTTATAATTACTTACACAATGTGTGAGTGATATGAATACAAATCGAAAGGATTGTTATTACTGCTTCCATATTTTACAAACTATACATGTATTTTTGTTTACATGTCTGAAACGCAGGGATCGTGTGCATCAAAGGGTTAACATCAGAACCATGAGCTCGTTTTGGCAAGAAGTCGTTTATTCTGTCTAGATAATGAAGACACTTCATCCTCAACAAACTCGTCTCCACACCGGCGTGAACTGGGTAATGTTCTGATCCAGTCTGACCTCTGACCTGTAATGCTCCTGAATCATAATCATGATCACACTGTTGGCTCGTTGGCCAGAAGAGAACTGAGTCTGGTTTCTCACGAGGGTTATTGCTCCGTTCTGTCCCTGAGGGAGTTCTGGTTCCTCTGTCGCCGCTTAGTTGAGGACATTTAATTTAATATTCAACAATATTATTGATCTCCTGCATTGACGCCATTATATGAGAACTGAACTGAGATGGACGATGACATCACGGTTTTCTATATAAATGAACTAAATGAACTTTGCTTACAACAAAAATGAAACATCGACTTGACTTCGAATGATTCAAGCAATTCTATTTTTGTTTTTATCAAAATAATTGTCATATGTAAGTGTGATGATGAGCTGTAATGGCACAGTGTAACAGAGGGGGGCAGTAGTGGTCGGTCACCAGCATCAGAGATGAAGAGGCAGAGTAATGTTCAAGAAAGAAGAGATGATGCACTTTATTTCATGAACAAAACCGTGTCCGGAGAGAAACCCCAACGGGCTCAGTGTGGAAAGCGACGTGGATTCTTTGAAGCCACCGGGTAGATTAATCTATCGGGGTCACCGACAGCAATCGGCCTGGAGACGGAGCGTCACTGCGAACTACAGCAGCCCTCAGGCCATACAAGTGTACGATACCTGCGGATGATAGAGATAAGCTGGATAAGTGCTTGAGGAGTCTGATGCTCTGAAAAAGAACGAGACGAGATAGGCTACGAGAGAAAGGTTTTTGGCTCACGAGTGCAGCAACAGCGCAGACCTTTCGATGACTTTCTGACGGACCTGAAGCCGAAAGCAGAGTCGTGGTGAAGCCAGAGAGATCCAGGCCCGCTGAGGAACTGGACTGGATGCCGATGTTGGGTGTGATGAAGAACGTGGATGAACCAACAGACTGGGTCGACTCCATGCGGTGCGCAGAGAAAAAGAATGGTTCAGAAGTGAACTCGGGTCATTCCAGTAAAGAGGAGACAGGACCCGACCCATGAAGGTCATCTCGGGTCGAGGAACCAAACAGAGAGTGAGAGAGATACAGTTCTTTGGCCTGGAATAAGCATGGGCATGAAATGTAATAAACAGGAAAAAAAAAAAAAAAAAACAATAGATTGAAAAAACTTTTTATAATGACAGCTGTGACGATCTGCGGCTGGAGTGCCCGCTTGAGCCTCTGGGGGGCACTCCTTCCTAGTTTATTGTTTTCATGCACCTGTGTTTTATTATCTTGTTTAGTGCACCTGTCTTAAGCCCGAGTTTCCCCTTTGTTCGGTGCTCAGTATTGTGTATAGTGTCTGACTGCTTCGAGTGTTTTCCTAGTATTTCCTAGCTAGTTTCCTTAGTATTTCCTAGTTTCACGGTTCCTGGACTCTCTGCCTGTATCTGGTCTTTCCGTTTGTCTAATCCCTGCATTGTTTGATTGCTGATCTGGACTGCTTACCTGGTTTTGACCCCTTTCTGTTTCCTTGTAATTCTCCTCTTTAATAAAGCCTGCGTTTGGATCACCTCTGTCCATGTTCCATGTGCAGTCTCATGACAACAGCATTGTTATAAGCATTTTTGTCACATTTGGTCGAAAAAACAAGAATAATTAGCTATTATTAATATTTGCTTAAGGCTATTATTTGCATTAGTGCAATTGGTCAAATTGGTGTCACTGTGAGCAAATTAATTACATTCCTGTTTAAAACGAGCGTTCCTAAATATTTCAAATAAAAGTTGCCCTCATAAATTATATGAAACCTTTTTTTTAAAAACACACTTATTTACAAAAACAATTAAATGAGTAGTTCACTTTTGAAAAAGCTTTTGCTGATAATTTACTCACCCCCATGTCATCCAAGATGTCCATGTCTTTCCGTCTTCAGTCGAAAAGAAATTAAGGTTAAATTAACAAAACCCCTTTAAAACCTACAGTTCAAATAAAAATTTTGGTGTTCAACTTTTTTAAAAATACAACAACCGTTAATTTTTCGTTTTGTAATTAAAGGTTAAATAAGGTTTAAAGTATTGCGCAAATCTGTAATGGAAACACCCTAGTAGGCCTCTTGTTGAATATGAGCTTAAAAAATAGCCATTTTGTATAAGCGTATAATGTTAAGTATGTTGCATCCATCAAAGATAGAATTTGTTATGTTATCTTTTTCTTTTCCTTGTTCTGTGTGTGTATGTATGGTTCTGTGTGCTCCGCGTTAAACATGAACTCAGCCCACTTTCGGCATCATATGCGGCTGCGGTGAGAGGAGGAGCCGGACAGATCTCGGTTCTGCAGTGGATCAGACACCTGTGAGATCAAAGTCTGATATCGCGGGATTCACGCTCGTGCACGTGTTGCTAATAAACTGGATGTGATTTAAAGGGTTAGTTCACCCAAAAATGAAAATTAAGTCATTAATTACTCACCCCCATGCTGTACCAACCCCGTAAGACCTTCGTTCGTCTTCGGGACACAAATGAAGATATTTTTGATTAAATTTGAGAGCTGTAACTACCACATTGGCTCCTAAGGGACTGCCTCTTGACGGCCCAAAAAGTCAATGAAGAAAATGTTTAAATATCCCAAGTGACTACCGTGGCTCAACTATATGTTTATCAAGCGACGAGAATACTTTTTGTGCGAAAAAACAAACAAAAATAACGAGTTTATTCAACTATTTCTTTTCTTCCTTGTAGGCCAGAACGAGACTTCCTTAGATTTCCACGACGCATGCGCGAGATTTGCGATCTGCTCACACCAGCTTACACTACTTCAGATCAGTTCTCGCGCATGCGTCGTGGAAATCTAAGGAATTCTCGTTCTGGCCTACAAGGAAGAAAAGAAATAGTCGAATAAACTCGTTATTTTTGTTTGTTTTTTCGCACAAAAAGTATTCGCGTCGCTTGATAAACATATAGTTGAGCCACGGTAGTCACTTGGGATATTTAAACATTTTCTTCATTGACTTTCTGGGCCGTCAAGAGGCAGTCCTTTAGGAGCCAATGTGGTAGTTATACAGCTCTCAAATTTAATCAAAAATATCTTCATTTGTGTCCCGAAGACGAACGAAGGTCTTACGGGGTTGGTACAGCATGGGGGTGAGTAATTAATGACTTAATTTTCATTTTTGGGTGAACTAACCCTTTAGGTTCTGTTGCTTTTATATGAAAATAAATTTAATGACACTGGTCACTTCCTGGATGTAGAGGCGGCTGGTCTATTATGGGCGCTGGGGCACCGCCCCTCCTAAGTAAAAAAAAAAGTTTAAGTTTGAAAAAAATATGACTATCTTCTGTACAGGTGTACGTGTTTTACACACTAGAAGGACGGAGAGGGGGTGGGGGTCTTTTGTCTGCCAGCTTCATCGTGTAGTTTTATCCTCGGGTGCTTTGCCTCAGTGCCCATTGGAGAATAACATGGAGTTTGAGTTACTTAGTGAGGGAGATTCGGCGGGTGGGGCCAGTCTTTCTTAACAAGTTGACTATGGCAGCGGCACACGAGAAAGAGACCGTGCAATCGAAATTGAAAGAAGACCACTGGCTGGGAATCAAAAAATTAAAGAAATGGGACCGGACCAGCCACAAATTAACATCAGACAACAGGTGAAAGACAAGGAAGCGTCTTATACTAGAGGCTTTTCGCAGACATGGTACACTAGGAAGCTGTGGCTAACCGGCTGCGGAGAAACGTTAGCTAACTCGCTGTTTTGCTTCCTTGTTTGCACAACACCAACCCTTTAACTCACCCCCCACACATTCACTCCATCTACTTCTCTCATACACACACACACACACACACACACACACACACACACACACACATCTGACTGTCACAGACACCATATCTTAATCTCCTTCTACTCTTTACTCTCTCTTCCTCCCTCTCACACACACACACACACACACACATACACACACACTCACCCATCTTTCTCTCCAACTCACTCACTTTGAACCTCACACACACACACACACACACACACACACACACACACACACATTCGCTGTTATTCTCTTACTCTCTCACTCACACACAAACACAAACAAACACCTGCAATCTCAATTCAAGAAGCTTTATTGGCTGTCTCTGTTATTCGCTCACTAACTCATACACACCCTGATTCACACACATTTGCCATTAAAATCTCAATCTCTGAGCTGCTGGATTACTGTTTCATACTAGTTAAAATGTTAAAATCATCTTTCTTCTCACACTTGGTGTTCACTTCAAAAATGTTGTCCCATCCTTCTCTCCTTCTCTCTTTCTAGTATCAATACAGACTGTTATCCATTATCCAACTGTTCATTTCTATACAGTGAACTTTAAAGACAGCTGGGGATTGATTAAAGAACTAGATTGTTGTATTCCCTATTATAATTTATTGTTCTGCATTTGCACTTTTTGTATCTGGACATTTAAATAATAAACAACTTGTTCATTATCTTTACCTGTGAAACTGTTGATTTCTACATGACAGTTAAATTAATATTGTGTTTTTAGACCATTGGTATTGACTGGTTTAAGTTATTTTATTGGTATAGGCAAGGAGCATGGCCTAAGGCCTAAAATGCACCAGAATTCAGGAAATCACATCTATGAAATTAAAAAAATTTCTCAAATTTACCCCCCATAACCCAGTCCCACCTACAATATTAGTCACCAGCCACTTCCCGGATGTGAGAGCAGCTTCATGTGAATCGAGCAGAGGAGGAAACTGCAGAATAACGGTAGGCTACAGCAGCAGCGCTTTCTCTTGTGTTGGTTCAGTATTCTTTAGACGCATTAAACATCGCTGGACGTTACCTCTTGGATTAGGGTGTAAGTTATTTTTCTTTTCTTGGTTCAAAACAAAGACTCAGCGCGAGTGTTTTTTCGTCTGCTGTTTTATAGACCATTTTGCAAGATGTAAACAACACTGGTCCAGAAGCACTTCCTGTTTCAGTTTTTTAACACTACATAAAAGCTTGGATAAAATACAACCAACAGATCATTTAAAACTGAATCAAAAAGTTAAACAAACATCTTTAAGATGTTTTCTTTACATGTGAAGACTGAAACAGGAAACAGGAAGTGCTTCTGGACCAGTGTTGTTTACATCTTGTGAAATGGTCTATATGATTAAGACACTAACAACTGTGATACAAATGAGAAAAAAACACAACGGTCTTGTAAAACATCTTAATATGTCAAAATAAGAATACTCAATTGTGTCGAATTGGGCAATTAAAAAGAGACTTCTGCATTTAAGTAGCCTAGTCACCGCCCTCTACAAGTTTCAGTCGTCTTGTTCTCACCGACACACTTACCACCGACTTGAGTCATTCCAGTCACGTGCTAAAGTCTTTTAGCTTTATTAAAACATACTTATACTCAGTGGTGGCTGGTGTCTAGGGCTGGGTATTGAGACAAATTTCACAATTCGATTCGATTTCGATTCACAAGCTTGCAATTCGTTTCGATTACGATTCGATTCGATATTGATTATTTTGGATATCAGTTACAATAAATGGCAATTTTTCTCAAGAAAATTAAATCTCTTAACTAATGCTGTAAACTATGGGAGTCTAGTTGTAGCCGATAGGCTTCATTAGCCTAATATGAAGGTAATAATGAATGAATCATGACACTTATTTATTTTTATAATAAGAAGATTATGAAATATAAATATTTAAATGGTGGCTGTCATAAAAACTTGTCAGATTTATTCAAATATGCATTAAATATTGAAGAACATTAAGATTATATAATGCATATGTAATATGGTGTATATATTTAGCAAAATGCTCCTCTCTAGAGTTATTTTTTCTAGCTGACTAACGAGTTTATGTGGGTTTTCTGAGGTAAATATGACGATGACATTGATTACAAGCTGTTTAACTGACGTCTTTCCACGGTTGAAACGCTGATTGAGCGAATCAATGTGACATGATACGGATTTGGATAAGTTGTACTCTATCTTTAACACACTCTTAGATGCTCATTCATGTTTATTTGGCGCTGTGACTGGTATTATTAAGCCGGAAGAGAGATCAGCGCTGCTGCTTCTCCAGAGCGATCTCACGCCACAGCGACAAAACACTATTTATGTTTTTGAATTTCTAAAGAAAATGGACGTAATTTGAAAATTGAGACTTTGTTTCATATCAATAGTAACAAAGGACAAAGATTTTTTGGATGCGCGCAGCCGCGATACAATGATCCATTCATTCAAATGAAACAGGATGACTAATCGATTCTTGAGACTTAAGAATTGATATCGGTTCGTAAAAATGAGAATCGATTAGTATCAAGAAATCGATATTTATTACCCAGCCCTACTGGTGTCTAATATTGTAGGTGGGGCTGGGGTTGTTTTGGGGGAAAATTCAAAATTTTGAATTTCGTAGATGTGATTTCCTGCTTTCTGATGCATTTTTTTTTTTTTTTATCAAATCAAAACTGAATGCCACTAAAATTTCATAATTCCTGTGAGCCATTTTAATATCACAAAAAAATAATAGTAGCTTAAGAAAAGAATCTCAAGCTTACTGATGACAAGAGTCACAATAACAATAGCAAATCGACTTGAAAAACTTAAAACACTAAATAATATTATATTGTATAAAGTAATGAAATAAACAATACATGGTTTTCACCATAAATTCAACATTAACATTATTGACACACATGGCGACATCAGCTTTATTAGCAGCTTCTGCCACTTTAAGACCTCGAGGTCAAGCTCAGAGCGCTGTCAGAGAATGTTTAATTGAAGAGAATTGGCACTGGCTGGTTACTTCCGGTTTCTGGACTGGCTGCAGTAACGCGTCTCTGTCCATGCGGGGGCGCTCGCGGTCGCGTGCAGAATGAATGGGAGTCAATGGGGTTACTTTCACCCCCAGAAATCTACTTTTCTCAACCATCAGACCGTTGCTCGCGGCCTCGAAACACTACCGGCCCACCGGGGAAAGTCCTGAATCTCCGGATTGCCACTCTGCTACTGACCGGCAGCCACAGCATCATCATTTAAATGATTTAAACGTGGCTATTTTTTAAAACGTGGGTCATTGTGACTGACGTTCTCAACTTTCTATATTACTTTCTCCGCCCGCAACATTTGTTTTGTCCCGCTCCTGCCCGCAAAAAGCCTTTTTTCTGTACCTCCATATACTTTCAAGTTAGCCTACCTGTCGCCACCATACACAACAGCATAATTGCTGCTGATAAATTATTTACGTTGTAACACACAAACCGTTGTTATAACGTAAAGCAAGCAGCTCCTGTGTGCATGGTTTGGCAAGACTGTGCGCTTCCTTAATAATTCCTAAAAAGCTGACAGTTCATCGCGATCTCACACATCTGCTATTATCAATGAAGCTTTCATAATATATACACTTTGTTTGTTATAATTAGAGGATTTGCCAACATACAGAATTCAGCACTGAACAAAAGGTCCGTTTTGAGCGGTGAGGGAAGTCTATCGTAAATGCTTCTGATTGGCCATTGCATTCAAGAAAACAACACATGTCTGTGATTGGCTACATCGCTCAACGCTTTATTCTCCCTCAACCCGCACACACATAACCGTGCATAACCGCCCGCGCTCGGCGCTCCCTCTTATGACGCATAAAAAAACCCAGTTTTTTTTCCACGGGTCATTTCAAGTAATAGGCACAAGTCCGAGTCAAGTCTAAAGTCAAGTCGAGTCTTTTCAGCGATCTAGTCAAGTAAGTCTCAAGTCCAGAAAATTGCGACTCGAGTCTCCCACCTCTGGAGGGCTCTGTTAAAATTGTAGAGAAAAGTCTCTCATCTTCACATGTGATCTCAACAAATTTAAAGAGTGCTGGGAAAAAAATGTTCATAACATCTATAAAATTACATGATTAACAGCAAACCATTAGATCTTAACATTATTTGTACATGTATTTATTGTCCTGTGTTTCAGGTTAAGGCAGAATGGCAGGCATTATTCCCAAGAACAAAATTAAAGGTGTGGATATCTGTGGATCACAGGATTGGTGCTATATAATCCGCTCTGATCTCGGCTGCTATATGAGGTCCAGTAATTTCCACAAAGGGTCAGACATCAGTATTCATGATCTGCACCCCTCCTGCCGACACGGAGACCATTACATTGCTGACCCAAACTACTTTTACATCATTAAGGGTGATTCCTACCGCAGAGTCACTGACCTGTCAGAAGACACTGATTCCTCAGTCGAGACCCTTCGTTTAAGCTGTCGGGGTGGAGACCATTACCTCAAAGCCTTTGTCTGGTTTTACATCATCTTCCAGGAGAAGGGCACTTACAGAAAAACAGTACTGAGTATGATGCATCCTTTAATTTTACATGAGTTAGAATTATCTGATGATGAATTTACCCTGCCTCCCGAATGCAGAGATGGTCTCTATTACTGGGGTGATCTGGGAGACTTCAGCTTCCTCAAGCTAAACTCAGACTGGGGAGTTCAATACTACAAATGTACCGACCTCGACAGAGATGTGTGCACTGAGGTTTATTCGGTTCACCCCGATGTCCTGAACTTCCTGCCCGGTGGGCTGTCCATAACCAACGGCCCAGCGTTCAGCAAGTGGGTGAACATTAAATCCGTTAGTAATGACAGACTCACACCAATGAAATGGGAAAAGAAAGTTACTAAAAGGGTCGGATACAATAAGGAGATGTCGTCCCAGATCACGCGCAACTGGAAGATAGCAGCGTCATCCACGATCACATCTGGAGACCTCACAGGGTTAATTACAAGTGCCCAGTTCTCCTACTCGGCAGAATATGGAGGTGCACGTGTGGACGCTAAGACAGAAAACTGGAATGAAGAGACTGAAGATGAAGAGACACTATCATTTGAGCTGCAGCCGAACGAGAGTCTGTATGTGTGGCAGTATCAGCTGGGTCTCGGATCAGAATCGGTGTTGTTCTGCAAGGATCTGAAGTTCACCGATCAGCCGAACCCTCCGACCGACGTCCCGCTGCCGTCTGTTTAACACCGGCTTCGAGTAAACACCTCAACTCTGACTTCTTAAGCAATTTATTTATATATCAGCTGCAAGCATTGCTTTAATTACAGCACATACAAAGTATACTAAACTAGAATGTACATTTCCAGAAGAAAATGTGAAGTGGTGCTTGCAGTGGCAAAACTCACCACCCGGTTGCTAGGGTGTTTTGGGTGGTTGCTAAGTGGTTGCTAGGGTGTTGCTATGTGGTTGCTAAGGTGTTCTGTGTGGTTGCTAGGCGGTTGCTAGGGTGTTCTGGGTGGTTGCTAGGGTGTTGCTAGGCGGTTGCAAGGGTGTTCTGAGTGGTTGCTAGGGTGTTCTGGGTGGTTGCTATGGTGTTGTTAGGCGGTTGCAAGGGTATTCTGGGTGGTTGCTAGGGTGTTCTGGGTGGTTGCTAGGTTGTTGCTAGGAGGTTGCTAGGATGTTCTGGTATAGGTGGTTGGTAGTTGTCACAGATGGTTACTATGAAGTTTGTAGCATTTTCTTGTCATGATTTAGCACTTAGCTAATCAATATTAGCATGTAGCTATTCACTGCTAACATGTGTAGCATGTAGCAAGTCATGTTTGCTAGCATGAGTAAAAAGAGCCAACCCCCATCTCTATACGATGTTTTGATGCAGAGATGTAGGTTTTGCAAAATGGTTGCTAGGGTACTCTGTTTGGTTATAGTCCTATAGTCTTACAAAATGGTTGCTAGGGTACTCTGTTTGGTTGCTAGGGAGTGGCTTGGCAGCTGCCAATGATAAAGCTCCAAAGTCAATGTGAATGTATAAACCAAACCCCATCTCTACACAATGTTCAGATGCAGAGATGTAGGTTTTGCAAAATGGTTGCTAGGGTACTCTGTTTGGTTGCTAGGGAGTGGCTTGGCAGCTGCCAATCATGAATCTCCAAAGGCTGCTTGTCAGTATGAATGATATAATACAACTCCCATGCCTCTGTGACATTCAGAATGGAAGTTATCCCTCTTTAAAATTTGGTTGCTAAGGTGCTCAATAATGGTTGCTAGGGCGTGGCCAGAAATTGTTGAGGTGATTCATGATTGGCTGTTTGCTTCCCTGAGTCAAATGAGACCACTCTCGTGTTTCTATGACACTTCTATCCGGAGATATCCCTTTGACCTCTTTCAATGGAAGTCTATGGGACTTGTTGCTAAGGTGCTCTATATGGTTGCTAGGGCGTGGCTTAATAGCTTCACAATGATCCTGAGAGACTGATGCAAAATCCCTATGCAATTTACCATAGTAGGAAAAACACATGCATTTGATGGGACGACCTTCACCATAGTAAGTCAATGGGGGAAACTTTGGGCAGCTTCTGCCCCCCAGGGGTGCAACTTTTACCCCATTGTGGGGTATTTTCTTACAGAGCCTGTCACCCTCTTCAAATGTGGTAAATCACAGGTTTCTGTGAAATCCTCGCTCGGAGCTATGAATCGCTAAAATTTGTCGCAATGTTAAGTCTATGGGATTTTTGGGAAATTTGTTCGCCCCTGGGGCCAACACCGTACCCCCGATCGCTTAGAAAAGTCATAGCACACCATTCCCGAATAATCCGCATGATTTGATGCCTCATTCATGGGTCTGTGACAAAAACTGCGGGAGGAGTAGCGCGTCAAACTTTTGGGCCGACTTAAAAAACACAATAGTAATAGTGGTGCCTTGCTTTCAGCTAACACCACTAATTATTAATTTTAGCATTAAAAAACGGACAAAATGCTGCTTTAAAAATCCACTTCAAATCCCCGGATGTGTTCTTGATCCGCCCCGTTCATAGACAGTCTATGCGCCTCGTTTACCGAGGATGCATCGAGAGGTGACTTGTGTGTACTTGTGGACTTGAGATAGCCAGGTAACCCAGAATGCACCTCGCACCAACCAGCAAGCGTCAATAGGAGAGGAGAAAATCCGCGAAATATCAAAATACTACTGTAATTGAGTCATGTAATGTCATTTTAAGAGTGTTTCAGGCGAGAATGTGGTTGTTTAAATCTCAAATCTGTAGTTTATTTATAAAGATAGCGCCTATCTGAAAAACGCATCTGACGTTTTCGGAGTTCTGACATCCAAGCCTTCAGCGAACACTCAGCGAGATCAACCCCGACTGGAGCAGCTTATCCTCGGCTAGTGCTTCTGACGATTACCGCCGGCTCTGATCTCTCTAGTCTAGTGGATAAACCTTGACGTATAAGAATTCGTCTTGTGTATAAGTCTATCTTTGGTCTCATTAAACTATAATTTGTTCCATGGCAAAAAAAAAAATCGTTTTTGAGGTTTCATAACTTTATTACTCTATTTAACTTTAACAACATTTTTTAATTTTTTATATTATCTTCGCTATATGAACAATAAAATAAAATGACATAACCCTGTCTCTGTTTGATAAATGTCAATAAAAATCAATGTTTCATATTTTTAAAATGAAAACAAAAAGATCATGTTCATTTTGTTATAAATATACAGTGAAGAGAATCACGTTGCCTGAACCACATGGCCATTAGGCTAATATGTTGTTTTTTTGTTAACGAAAAGAGGCAGAGTGGTTTTATTGTTGACGAAAAGATGCAGAGTTGTAGCAAATTTCGTTTTATTGTTGACGAAAATATATATAAAGAGATAACCGGAGTGACGTGCTGAGTGACGTGATCAAGTACGCTCTGTTCCATTTGCAGAAGAACCGGACTTGCGTCCTCTCGTCCTCGGGAGTTCGTTCTCCTGAGTCAAACTTGGCAAGTCTGAAATCTGCGTACTTGGTATTGAGAAACGGCTAGAGTCTCCCTCTGCTGGCCACAGAGAGTTCTTCACATGACTGAATCATTTCAGTCTGAGACTAAACCACCGCATCTAACATTTAGGATATATTAACATTATATAATAATATATAATAAATATAGACATTAAAATTAAATTAACTTTAAATAATTTAACTACATTAACATTAGAATGAAATATTTAGAGATACTGAATGACTTTAAGGATGAACAGAGGATGAACTTCATACACTTTAAAGAGCCTCAAGAAAACAAAAACTTCAGGAAATAAATGTTACTCCATCAGTAATGTTGACAGGATGATGTAGTTCTGACAGTGACCAGCAGGGGTCAAACTAACAGCTTCAAACACTCCTATAATAAAGTCAGGAGAATCTTGCTGATCGAGTGAGATAAAACATCACACATCATGGACGTATTAAACTGATCAAAAGTGCCAGTAAAGATATTTATAAATTAAGTTCTGTTCCTTAGAACTTTCTATTCATCAAAGAATCCTGAAAAATACAATAAAATATGAAGAAACACAACTGTTTGCAGCATTGATAATAATAATGAATGCGTCTTGATCCTCACATTAGAGTGATTCCTGAAGGATCATGTGACACTGAAGCTGAAAATTCAGCAGGAATAAATTACACTTTACTGTATATTCACATAGAAACTGATGATATACACTTTCACTGTTTACTGTATTCTTGATAAAGTAAATGCAGCTTGGGTGAGCAGAAGAGACTCTTTCAGAACCATTAAAACATCTTATTACAAACTTTTCACCGAATGTGTGTGTGTGAGAGAGTGTGTGTATATATACATATATACTCTATATGTATAGACATGTATGAAGACAAACAAAAATGATGTTGAAGGCAGTAACTGGTTTCTCTGTCTGTGTAAAGCGACCACACACACGATCAGCAGGGTTTAAATCCATCAGCGTGTTCGACTGCGAGCTCACATCAACTACAGTAAGATCTGCTCCTGGAAGAGAGAGAGTGAGGTAATGTGTGTCCGAGGAACTGATCCGCAACACACACACACACACACACTGAGATCCGAGTGTGTGTGTGTGTGAGTGACAGTGTGTTTGTTTTGCTGGCGTGTTAACGAGGCTCAGGGCCCGTTAGTGAGAGAGCTGCACTGATACGCTACATTGATCTTTATGACGACCCTCCATTGTGCCGAGAGCCCATATGACTTTATTACTGTGTGTGTGTGTGTGTGTGTGTGTGTGTGTGTGTGTGGGCCGTGTGATGAATACACATATGGAACTCATCATTCAGTGAGTGAAGAGCTGCTGTCTGACCCTGCTAAACACACACACACACACACACACACACACACATAGAAGACCATTTCTGCCAATAAGTAATCGTAATTATTACACAACGAGATAAAGACAAAATTATGACATCACGTCATAAATATGAGATTAAAAGGGGAAATTATAAAATTAAAAGTCAATTTATGGCTTTCCAGGTCATAATTATAACTTTTTATTTTACAATTCTTTACTACATTACTAATGTCCTTAATTAAGTCTTATTTATTGTTCAGATTTCCCAAAACATGATTTTTCCTGATTTTGCAGAAATGGGCTTCACGTGTAGCAGACCGTTCACATACTACTATTCCTTGTTTACTTAGAAAAAACAAGTTAAGATTAATTGGTTTGAGTGCCATTTTGTTTTTTTGAAAGTTTTTAAATGTTGATTTGTCATTACAACTGAAAAATATGAGCGAACATCACATAAGCTGACTTCATAAATTGATGATGATTTTCCTAAAATGTTTTTGTTTGAACTCACCATTATTATGATCAGTATTCCCTTTGGTTGGGCACTTGGAACTTCATGTATATCATTATAATTTTCTTCCTATTAAATCAGTGATGCAACAAGAAATCACAGTTATTTTGTTTCAACAGAAGGAAAGTACAAAATATGTGGTCTTTAAAAGTTTACCTTTTATCTTCTAACTAAATCATTTTTCATGTTGAATAATAATCTGAATAATCTGTTGAAAATTATACAATTTATTCTAACTTTTTAAAAATTCTAATTTGGGTTAATTTAAGCTTACTTTTAGTCATTTAGCTGTGTGATTTTGCTATTTTAGTGTTATATATATATATATAGCCATTCAGGTTTAATATATTTGGTAACACTTTACAAAAATAAGTTGCAAAACAAGGCCCTGTACTCGAAAAATACCAAGATACTCAACCAAGATATGGTGCAAAAAGGTGCAGTGCAGAGTATTCGGGCGTTGGGAGCAGGGGCGGTTATAGGGTGAGTGGATATCCGGGGTTTAGCCCAGAGAAATCCATGTGTCACGATTCAAGGAATAAACTTTAAATAAAATTCTTATATTTCTTTTTTTTATTTTAATTTT